AGTGACTGTTGAGAACAAGTTGAAAGACCTTTATTCATAGTTTTATAATAATTTCCAGCATGTAGACGCTAATGAAAGTAAGTACACTCAACAAACTCGGTTCCATAAGCTTGCAAGGCAACCTGTTGCTTTAAAAATAATTCATAGCTTCTTCATACTACATCTGAAAAACGCTACCATCACTCGATACTTTAAATGGTTTTCTGGTGTGCCTTGTTTCTTTGAAAAAGGTACTGTTCAGATGCCCAACATACTTCCTGATGACACATACGATGTTAACATTAACCCTAATGACTCACAACTGAGACCGATGATGTTCAAAATGATTGTTTTCGGAAATCGACGACCACCAACAGATTATCATTTTATTGGACGAGCTACAACCAATTCTAATGTAATGGAGTTCGTATTGAGGTGGGGTGCTGTACCAAAAGATTTGGATTCACATATGTACGCATCTAATGGAGCGCACGTGTTTTATCAAATGAAGACAGCTAGCAAAATGTCACTCGATTGTGATGTCACTAGTGGGAATGGTCCAGAAACGATCAAGGTTATCCTTGAGCCAAGCGTGAAATACGTTTATGCGGTTCATAGGTAAGAGAAAAACCTGTCCTTTATTTTGCTTCAAGTGGCCAATCAGTGGCAAACGGATATAACAGATGAACAAATCTAGTGCTAGAGTGAGGAGGAACAGGCGAATTTCGTGACTCCAGTAATTTCAAGTGATTTCGCACGGTTTCATTGATTTTTCGAACTGATTGCCACTATCGAAAGAAGTTTGTTACCCCGAACCTTCAAGAATTTTTTTTTATCACGATTCAGTATTTTAGAAGGTTATTCTATGTTTAGATATTCAAAAGATGGAGAACTGACAAAATCTAATGCTACATTATTAATCAATAGTAATCAACTACAACCGGTAAGTACGGCTAGTGTACCAAGAGAAAATCGTCCACAAGCAAATTTTTGGATTGTCTGCGTGATCGATGGTACAACAAAAAATATAACATATATAAATAAATTTGAAGAACATAACAACTATTCGACAAATGAAGTTGGTGTAAAATACTTCAATGCGTAATTATCCTGTAGTTTGTTCAAATTAGTTTTGTTCGCTCTACATTTACCCGTCTTCATTTGCAACAGAAACCGATATACTTACATTGTTAATTTGTTTCAATTGTAAAATTTTTAGTGCTGTTCATTCGAAAATGAATATGCAAGAAGCAAAGAAAGAATGCTCTTCTCATCTGCCTTGCTGTTTCAAGTTAAATCACTATCTAACTAAAGGTTTTCGTTCAGCATAGAAACCGAGTACCTAAATTAAATATCAGAATTACTCACTGAATTCTATGAGTGGGCATGTACCGAACTTAAAATCAAACTCAAATCGTTTGGAAGTTTGGACTTAGGTTTGAAGAAAAAGCTCAAACTCATCGATCGTCTTTTCAAACAGATGAGATTAGACAGTTCTTTCAGCAGTCAACATTGAATACCATTCGGTTCTATAGAAATGAAATTTTTCTAGGAAAGTTTTTCGTGTAGAAAATAATGAATAAATAACGCTCGTCGAAACTACTCGCTTAATCCTCGACTGATTATCCATGTCCTCACGAAACACCACGCAATGATACAGTCAAAAGATAATCAGTTTGATCCTAGTGGGAAAAAACTGATAGTTGAACCTAACTAAAAATTCCACATCAGATGAAGTTTTACGACTTTCAGCTGGTAGTTAGGAGTAGAAATACGTCAAAAGATGAAATATGATAGGGAACGAACTTCATCATGTTACTCTCAATTGAGCGCACACATATTTTGCAGGATCACTACTCTAGTTCCGGTGACCGGCTACGTCAAGTCTACTTCAAGTTTTCTTTTAAAGAGTGGCAAGAGCACCTTGGCAATTGGTCTTGGACGTTCTTCTAGGCCGTCACTTTCGACTACCGGAGGTCGCGTATCGCGTACCACATATGTCATTACAAAAAGCTCTCTCCAAAGTCATGCATTCAGTAGCGGTACTCATCGATTGTCGAAGAAATGAATCACTGGACATGAAATGATAGCACCAATGGTTTACACAGTACAAGCTAACATTTTTTTCGTATTTTCTAAGTACAAAACTTCATAAGAACTAAGGCTCTGAATTCAGCTCCAGACAAAAGACTAGTTTTATTCCTGACTGCTTTCTTGATCGTGTAGATTTCTGTCTTCTTAACCGTACCTGATCGTCCTGATAACGCCATCTCATGGTTACCTATCAGCGTCTTCTCAAATTTCTGTTTGATAGTTTCTAA